CGAGGGTCACTTTGACACGAGGGTCACTTTGACACGAGAGTCACTTTGACACGAGGGTCACTTTGACACGAGGGTCGCTTTGACACGAGAGTCACTTTGACACGAGGGTCACTTTGACACGAGGGTCACTTTGACACGTGGGTCACTTTGACACGAGGGTCACTTTGACACGAGAGTCACTTTGACACGAGAGTCACTTTGACACGAGAGTCACTTTGACACGAGGGTCACTTTGACACGAGGGTCACTTCACTTTGACACGAGGGTCACTTTGACACGAGAGTCACTTTGACACGAGGGTCCCTTTGACACGAGGGTCACTTTGACACGAGAGTCACTTTGAGACAATAGTCACTTTGACACGATAGTCACTCTGACACGAGAGTCACTTTGAAACAATAGTCACTTTGACATGAGGGTCACTTTGACACGATAGTCACTCTGACACGAGAGTCACTTTGAGACAATAGTCACTTTGACCAGAGGGTCACTTTGACACGAGAGCCTCTTTGACAAGAAAGTCACCTTGACACGAGAGTCACTTTGAGACAATAGTCACTTTGACCAGAGGGCCACTTTGACACGAGAGTCGCTTTGACACGGTTACCTCCCACTAACTCCGCGTCCCGCCACCTCCGTGTCCCGCCACCTCCAAATTTCAGAGTGACCCCTATAATTCTCGGTTACTACATGCGTTAAGACTTACCGTCCTAACCTAAGCTAACTTAACCTAACCTAACCCAACCCACGGGTTAAATTTTCATTAAATCTTCCATCCACGGGGATTTGCAGCTATGGATGCTATGACAGCTACCAACGCAGGCAATGACGGTATTATAAGGGTCACTCAAGAATTCGGAGGTGGCGGGAGAGATTTGGGTTCGGAGGTGGCGGAACGCGGAGATAGCGGGAGCACACGTTTGACACGAGAGTCGCTTTGACACGAGGGTCACTTTGAGACAATAGTCACTTTGACATGAGGGTCACTTTGACACGATAGTCACTCTGACACGAGAGTCGCTTTGACACGAGAGTCACTTTGAGACAATAGTCACTTTGACATGAGGGTCACTTTGACACGATAGTCACTCTGACACGAGAGTCACTTTGAGACAATAGTCACTTTGACATGAGGGTCACTTTGACACGATAGTCACTCTGACACGAGAGTCACTTTGAGACAATAGTCACTTTGACCAGAGGGTCACTTTGACACGAGAGTCTCTTTGAGAAGAGAGTCACATTGACACGAGAGTCACTTTGAGACAATAGTCACTTTGACCAGAGGGTCACTTTGACACGATAGTCACTCTGACACGAGAGTCACTTTGAGACAATAGTCACTTTGACCAGAGGGTCACTTTGACACGAGAGTCTCTTTGAGAAGAGAGTCACATTGACACGAGAGTCACTTTGAGACAATAGTCACTTTGACCAGAGGGTCACTTTGATACGAGAGTCTCTTTGACAAGAGAGTCACCTTGACACGAGTGTCACTTTGAGACAATAGTCACTTTGACCAGAGGGCCACTTTGACACGAGAGTCACATTGACACGAGAGTCGCTTTGACACGAGAGTCACTTAACATTACAGTCACTTTGAAATGCCTGTTAATCAGATCACTAGTAGGGAGACTTACAGGGAAAAGTGAAGGAAAGTGACATTGATATCTTCTCTGGCTTGCGTGTTTTTGTCCTAGACGATTTCTAGCTGAAACTCGATATTTCCCTTTCTAGTTTGTCCAAGTGCCTGAAACGTACCTACAATGATACAACAATACGTACCTGATTAACAATACAAAACAAGTTAGTAATGGTTGACTGATTTGTTGTATTTATTTTATAATTTTGAGAACAAACTTTGGCTGGGCAAAAAAGTAACTGGAAGTTGAAAATGCATTCCAGTTTCAAACATTTGGGAATCGTCTGATAAAGAGCTTGGTAGCTCAGTGGTTTTGGTACTCCCCTAATAATCTGAAAGTCGCCGATTTAATATGAGAAGTCGGTAGCTTTTTGATGGTTCTAAATGGGGTCTTTCTATGATCAATTATTGAACATTGGTTACTTAAGAAAATCGTCCTGTTTTATAATTTCTTCCAAACATCCTCAGGTTAAAATATTAATGGTTGTATCCCCAACTCATAATGCGATTGGAGATTGGAAATGCAATTTTTGACAGTATCTGTGCTTATTTCGCTCTGCAGATTTCGTTCATTGGACTGCAGTAGCAATGGAGAAGTCTGAAGAAGAAGTGACCAGGGCCTGAAAAGAGCATTTTTATCCCAACACACTCACTGGACAACTTTTCCAGCCAGATTGAAACGGTGGCGTGCAGAACTTGTCACAAACATGAGAGCCCAAACGAGTCGTTCTGATAGCCAGACCCAGCCTAATATACCGCTAAAATTAGGTACATGGGTTTCTAAAACTTCTAGGTGTTTATTCTAAAAAGAATATAACAGCTGTGCAGTACGAAGCCAAGACCCCACTAGAAAAACATGCCATGCTGCAGTGTGGGCAGCGCAGCACTACGTCACAGTGGTGGATAGTTGCACTAAAATCTTACCGTTAAAATCTGACCAAAAGCCCGCTTATTTACCTACAACTATATATATTATATATTTCAGTGAATCTATCAACTAGTGTGACGTCATGGTTCCTGCAGCATGGCCTACATAGCCCCGATTTGCTTTTAAAATGTTGTATTTGCCAACCAGTGGAGAATACCATTTCTGGTTGAAGATAGTTTAATCAAGCATGAATTTAGCAATTGGTAAAATCAGGGAAATGCATCTCGGAGGAACGTTTCTGATTAAGACAAATTAATGTCGAGTTTTAAAGCGAAACCCTCAAGACAAATGCCTGTTATCAGCAATCTGGTAGGAAGTTGAAAACGCAATAAGGAAATTTAACGCCCACACAGAAGGAAAGTGGCTATGGTAGTCCAGTCTAGCTCTGTGACCCGTTTCTGTGGGTTGGTAGTTACACCAGCACATCCTTTGTTGGCCAATGCCGCTTGTATTGTGCTACACCATGCAATATCTCGTATCCCACCCAGTACAATACTCTAAAGTAACCGTTAAAACATGATACAATTTGAGCCATTTTACTAGCATACTTTAACAGACTTCTTGAACTTGCAAATGTATTCTTTTCTGATTTGCTACAATTTGTTCCTTTTTTTTGTTATTCCTGAGCTTTATCAAAAGTCGTATGATCAAGACAATCATAATTTGCATAAACAGTCAGGTATGCACTGAAAACCGTATGCATGCGTAGATCATGTCTTAGGGAGACTAAGCCTCGCCTAGCCATCAAAATCTATTATGACATTTTCTAAATCAACCAGGAACCTTATGATTGCCGGCTATCACTACAACCATGCATCCCCAGCATCTATTCTTGTTGTAGAAGATGACATTTTCTTCATAATCCATCATCGAGGTGATGATGGCTGGCTATCAGCCTACCGAGCCGTGGTTGGGTCACGGATGTGGCGAAGGCGTTATGAAACGAAGAATCTCCCACCGCAGCTGGGAGCGAGAAATGAGCTGTCGATCTGAGAGTAGATAACACTGATGAACGTGTCGGCAAGGCATGTTCACACACGCAGGCAGGCCCGTGTTCAAACGTTTAGTCATGGGAGAGTGATTTGTTCCAGGTGCAACTCTTGCTAAACTGTCTGGCTTGAACTCAATAAGGGATGAAAGGTTAAGTGGAAGAGACGTGGAGATAGTGTAGGAGTGAGTACAAAGTATTCAAATACTTGTAAAGAGTTGTTTTATGGACTCGGAGGGCCATCGATGAGGGAGCAAGACAAATTGACAAATTTGAGTTAATCCAAAGGTCCACCCTTTTCCCAGAACCGGATCGTCAAAAAGACGAATAATAAGTATACATAGTTGCAGGCTATGGCAATCTGACATTTACTTCTTATAATTATTGAGAACACGAACACAAGAGAGAAGAAGAGAGAGATGTTTCTGTTCCTAACCTAACCTTATCCAACATAGTATAACCTAACCTAACCTAACCTCATCTAACCTAACCTAACCTAACGAAACCCGACATTATCTAGGACAGTTAGGTCCAGTTCCAAGCCATAATCTATACTTACAGTACTCGATGATTTTGCGTTTTCTGCCGGTTAGTTTGGTCGTTTGTAATTTTGCTAGTTTATGTATTTCCAAGCTGGTACTATGTCCCCAAAACTTTGTTTGACAATGTTTTACTTGTCCATTGCAGAATCTAGCTGAAGAAATTTTTTTTTTACCTGGTCGCTCTTTTTTTAAGCGGTTTAATGAAATTAATACACACATAGTATTTTAATAGGGATATTTAAGAATTTATAATGGGCTTTGATCCTGCTTTTTGCGTTAAACTTCAACGTGAATTTGATTATAACAACACCAAAGCAATCATGGTTTAAGCAATAGATTTGTCCTGACCCTTAGATAAGCTGATTAAAACAAGTGCACTTTGCAGGATACTACATTTTTCTCTAATACCACACCATTTTCTTTATGCTTAAAGAACATTATTTAATTCTTTGAAAACCTCTTGATCATCATCGTGCATGTTATTAAATTACCTGAAAGTAAAAAATACGTCAAATAACACTTGTAATAAATATATTTATTACAAGTGTTTTTTGACGTATTTTTAGGTTTATTTTTTTGCTAAAACGGAAACTTAGTTGAAACCATTAATCAATCGTTCATAAAACTTTCCTACTCCTAACCAAAACCCCTCCAACTTTTTCCCACTGTTACATTTATCCTTTTTAGAGCGCTGATAAATCACAGAATTTACACACTGGCAAGGAGCAAAGTTATTGATCTAGATATCTAGATGTTCAGATAGCAATGTTGGCTAGGTTGCTATTGGCTGGATGGCTATAGGCTGTGGCTAGGTGGCTACGCTAGGTGTCAGGGCCTAGCCGACCTTGTACCTTCATATAAGTGTCGGCTGTTCCTCGACCTCTGTACAATCACCGACTGTCCACCGTCCTTCTGCAGTCCATAGTCAGTCTTAGTCGTGCTGTGCCTACCTATACTCGTGTTCCCTGCTAAGTGCCTACACTTGAGTTACTTACCCTAAGTGCCTTCTCTACCGGAAACTTTACTCCAATAGCCTACCTCAGTGTAGAAGTGCCTTGTGAAGTAAGTGAAAAGTGAAGTGTTGCGTGATTTAGTGTAGAATATAAGTAGAAGGTGTTACTGGTATGTAGAGTAGAATATATTGACGTATAAGATTGTAAAACAATAACTTTCTCTAGGTTGGTTAGTGGGTATCACCAAGCCTTCTCTAGGATATACAGTAGTCCTTTTGTGTTTTGAAATACAAGTTTCTAATATAAATTTTGTTTTATTTTAAGAAAGAGGGAAACATAGCAATTTAGGTAAACATTTTTTTTACATTCGTCAAAAAGATAATACTTGACATTTATTTACTATCACGCCTTTAGGATTTCAATCAGCACGAATCTTTCAATATTTCAATAATATGTATCAACAAGGTACTAAATCTTTCTGCAAAATATACAGGTCTTTTTAGAAATTTTGTAGATAAATAATCAACGGATGGGTTGCTAGCCTAGTGGCTAGAGCCCGGACTTCAGTGACAGATGTAGGCATGGGGTTCTTTCCCTAGGATATCCACAAATAATGAAGTTTTCGTTCGCTATACCTTAAAGGTATTCTTGATTCCTTAATTGGAAACGCCACCGACGTTCAAACTAATAAATTTACATGCGACAGTTAAATCGAAACTGTAATACTAAAAGAGTAGGGGATTTCGAGAAATCAAAACATATATTCAAAATCCAGAACATCACAATCTTTCTAATCTAAAGACTTTGATGATGTATTGAATCATAAACTCGTGAGGCTAAACAGATCAATTTGACGACACGAATATTTCAAGGAAGAAACTCCCGAGTCCTTCCCTTCTGGAGAGGAGAGAGTCAACATGCTACACACACGGGTTGGTCCAGTCCTTTGGTCCTTGTCCAAGACCCAAACCAGTCCGATTCCACCAGTCCTCCCGTCCACGGGGCGCAGAACCACTTTCTATCACTGCCGGCTACAGCATTGTTTATGTTTATCGTTACTCCTTCCTCACAAACAGTCGCTGGCGCCATAACTGCTAAACAGCTTGCTTCTTCGGTGTTGCGGTTTGGTAGGATTTTTAAATTTCAATATTTTTATGTTAGTGATTGTTGAAAATAGATAGAGGTAGACACCCTTTTCCCATACTTAAGCTGTATCCGGGTTAAGGAATGCGCTAAGGCCATTGAGGTACTGATTTCTATCCCCTATGGTTGTTGCCCAATGATCAAGGACAGCCATGTAGAGTCTCAAACTATCAAAAAGCAGATTTTAGGATCGAACTGGCTCTTATGGTTACAAGAAGAGCACTATCATATCAGTCAACCAGATTTGTGCGGTCATCATACCTTTACGTCTTCTATGTTGCTCATGATTTCTGCAGTTGAATCTCAATAACCCGACACTTGATATACTGTTCGTAAGTTCGCCAAGTGAACGAAGATATACTAAAAGAAAGTCATAGCGAGACAGAAATCGTCAATTTGTCAGTAGGCTATTACATTCACAGAGAACCCTTTTTCATATAAACCACCCTAAATTTTGTGTTAGTTCGTGTAACCTAGTCATAACTAAACTCGACTAACCTCATGATATGAAATACCACTTTTTGCAAATCAATTATCTTCCAGAAACTAATAACCTTTTGGAACTACTCCTGGAACCAATTCTGGAACTCGCTAACCCACGACCCAATGTATCTTCTACTCACTACTTTCAATGTAGGTCGGATCATGAACAAACGTCAATAGAGATTTTCGTTTTTAAAAACGTTTTACTTCTTCTTCCAGGGTTTGTTATTTTAATTTTTAATTACTTTTTGCAATTTTTGGCACTGCTTCCGTAGCGAATTGGACCATTGTTTATCAATTTATGAGTTCCATTTTGTAATTTTAATTGCACTAATAGTTTAAAGACATTTCTCCATATCCACATTTTCCCTCCTCCTCCCTCTCCAATACAAATAACATTTTTCTTTTCAAACTCCAGGTAACAATTAGAAAAATGTTTCTACTGTCAGGAGAGGTCCCGGGCTGGGGACCGGTATAGCGGAGTTAAAAATGTGTTGGCCCTGAAAAGGGCCGTTTGGCCAAGAGCTTGTACGTCGCTTGGCGGAAGGGGGTCCACAACCCTTAGCCCAAAGAATCTACTGAATAAAAGTGGTATGGTAATACCGCTTAGCGTAAGACGCTGACAATTTAAATCGAACAAACTTAAGCGTATAGGTTGAGCCCGGTTCGGTCAACTCTCGAAGTCTTGGCTGTGGTGTTTCTTGAGCCTCCTCCGCGTCCTCCACCGAGGGGTCAAGAACGTCACAACAGTCAAGCGCTTCCAGAGCGACCTCATCAGGTAAAGGCAACCCTTCCCTTACGTTTACAGCTAACGGGTTCCTCAACATACTGCCACAAAGTAAGTTACGTGTTTACAGTGAGAAAGTTATTGAGAAACAGAATTTTTGGTTTCCATGGTTATTTTTTTCTCTGTTTAAATTGCGTTGCTAAAGCAATACAATGGTAAGATAAATTTACAAATGTTTGAATGAAATGAATACACGAGGATCCTCAGGACGTAGTCTCATTCGAGCAATTAAAATACTGACAAAGTGATTTCTGTCAGTTTTAATTAAAATTATAACTAATTAATAATTAAAAATATATATAATTTCACCCCACGCTGTAAATAAAACGTGTGTTTGGAATTTCTTCAATTTTGATAATTTGTTTCTTATATTTCGTTGTTGTTTCGTCACTGGCATGGCAAAACAAAAGGTCCACGTAATTTTTTTTTATTTTAAATTCATTTTTTGTGCTTTTTTGAGCCTATTTTAATTTATGAAAGGATTCTGCTCATCTACAGAAAATATATTTCTAACAGTATGCGTATATTTTCTGCGATGCACACGAGCTGAGAAAAATGTTTTCAAGAAACATGCTTGCCTATTAACAAATAGGATATCTCACAAGTCCAACTATTAACAAAAAACTTCGAACATGTGCGTTTTCACTTGATTAATGTTCACTGAAATTATGTTTGTTAAATTTATCATTACAATTACCAACAATTGACGTAAAAAATTAAAGTTACAAAGTTGGGGTTATTGCCCTGAAGCTATTTTCTACCATGTTTGCTTTTACAACTTGAAATAGTTTGTATAATAAAGAAGGGCTAGTATAAAATAAATAAATTCCTCCTTGATAAATAGTAAGTATATTTGTTCGTGCTACTATACGAATCAAGTGAAATTCGCCTTCAATGGTAGTACATGTAGTAGTTTTGGGAGAATTTTATTTAACGATAAAATAAATAAAATTAAAATAGTTATTCATCTTCAGAGGAATCTTCTTTGACTGTTACATGAAAATCGACTTGTGGTGAATCAGTTTCAAACCTGACTCAGCGTTACGTCATTTACACCGATTGCTCAATTTTCTATTTCAGTAACTTTACACAATAGCTTTCAATATTACAATTTAAGCAGATCAATACTTCACCGATATCCTCCATATTCACGACTAGTTAACTTCTCCATGAATATTCCATAATAGTTTCCATGCATCCATACCAGCACCACGGTTAAATTACAAATTCAAATCATAGCCTCTGCAAAATACATTGTCTGGCTTTGAATTAAGCTAAGTAGTTTCCTGGGTCGTTTTTGATCATCTTCAGTTTTCAGATGTTAGCTGAACCATAGACAAAAAAAAAAGAATTAAATATAGACTGTCAGCTGTGCTGCAGTTACAATGGTTACCATAGGTTCTGGCAAACACCACTGGTAGCGCCGTGTAGTTACGTAGCGCTTACGCCATAACTACATGGCACCCCCAGCGGTGTGCACCAGAACCCACCGCAGGTAACCGCAGCACGGCTTACGGTCTAAATTTTATGGTCTGTTATTTTTGTCTATGGCTGGATTCATATTCGAAATAGCGGAAATTAATTGTTAGAAACTATCCAATTGTGTGTGTCTGTCTACCTACATAGAACTGTATTTGTCCGGTTAATCCATCAGGGCCATGAATAACAGACGACTCATAGTTGACTGATATAGTATTTTGAAATTTAAAACGGTAACTCGAACAAAATATCCGATTTAGAATCAATGTAGTATGAGTACGCACATTTATTCAAATTTAGTATCCAATAAAATTAAATATCCTTTTATCATAAACGCGTTTGGTTCAAAATTTTAGGGTATCAAATAATGTGATTGAAGTGAAGGATTGCTGAGACAGGGATATATTTTACCATATGAATAGGTAAAATTACAATAATTATATTTTGATTATAAATTCACAACAAAATTATAAATCTAAATTGAAAGATTTCATTCTACAAGATCATGTTTGACCCCATGTCGATTGCTGATTAAAAGTCTGACAGCACGATCAGGGCAAAGGTCACGATTACTCTCGTGCTGATCCTTTAAAGATCATGCTGAGGCTGACGTTCAATGCGTTTACGTGATCCATCTAAACTTTCAAAATATCAAGTTGCATGACTTCCTTGAAAGATACTATAAATTGTAATTGGTTTATTATGAGTTGCCTGATTTACAAAGTAAGGTTTGAAGAAAGTAGTTTTGCTTATTATTTCTGACTGATGAGCCAAGTGTCAAAGTATTTCTGAAAGCAGGGCATCCAATATTATACCTTGAAAGGGATAATTGTCGTATTAATTTTTCAGAAAATCATTTATATGCCACCTCTGCATTAAGGTAATCTTGGCTAATTTCTGTTTCACGTTAACGATTATGTTGCATAAATAAATCTTCATTATCTGGGCTCTGATGTATATAAATATTTATTTTAGTGCGGGTTGTAAATAATCACACACAAAAGAATGGCTATCGAAAGAGCTGAATAGACTATTCACTTCCTGCAGAAAGAGAATTTAATGTGTACTTTATTCATTTAATCAGAGGATAAACTTGATATGTTTCTTGTTCTTCTCTTGCAAAGTATCCACAAGAAAGAATATGAAAACTGTCAGAAAAAGGTTAATTTTAATTTTGTACATTACAATATCTGTTCAGTATGAGGAAACCAAAATGTATTCAGGTGGTTATAGAAGAAGTTTTAGAGATTAAAGAGACGAGAATAATATTACCTTTGTTATGTATAGAAAGTTCTACTTGCACGCTCAACACAAACCAAACGCAATATTCTCTTCTTGAATTACGATTCTTGAATGTCAAGCAAGTCGATCTCCTCAACAATACATCTTTTATCAATACATCTTTTAGTAATGGACGCTGATGTTCTAAAATGATACAATGACAGTGTAGCTATGACAGTTTTCGTTGAATAGTTCCGCAAACTTCCCAACTTCTCTAATGACGTAAGCAGTAAGTAGTGATGTTCTCTAGTCCACCAAGGCCGAAAACCGGCCAAATAACTGTGTCGAAACGTCGACACCATCTTACGTCACAGATGGGACGTGTTTTTCTCTTTCCTCAAGCAGCCATTTTGTTTGAGAGATTAGGTCAAGTGTGGGTTTAATTGGGTTGATGTGATGTTAGATTATTGGGTGATGCTGTGAATCTCTTGAACTACAATGTAGATACTATAGCCTATAGAGAAATATAACCGTAATTGAATAACTTTGCATAACAGCATATTCTGTAACAGTGCTGTACTTTTTACTTTGGATAATGAAAGCACGGGCTTTACAATGAGTTTAATTTGTTCTGACAAAAACTCAAACTACGTACTTTATACACAAGCTTGAACATTTTCACAACCGACAACCAGATAAATGATCTAGAAAGGTGAACACAATTGCCTGGTTAAAATGCACAAAATATTAGGCATTTCGAATCGAATTTGGTAAATTGTCAGATAGAAATAAATGACAATGTGTTCTACTTTAAATACTCTATCTCGATGAGGTTATTTCGTGCTAGAATGGTGAAAAGTAGTTGATAATTATTAGGATATTCAATGTATTGCCATTGGAAGCTATAGACTAAAGAAGCCTTCTCTTTTAGAGGCTGTACCATTGGGAGGCGTGCTATATTTTTGTTCAAATGGAACATAGTTGAATAAACCTCCCGCAGAGTGTGCTGCTGTCAAATTTAATTTCATCCCTTGGATTTTGATCCTGTGAAAGTTGGGATGTTATAACTAGCGCTCTCTGCCGATGCTTCCATTACGCTCCTTGTTATCCTAAAACTATCTAAAACTTTAAAGGAACGGTTTTTCTTGTCAATCCACCTATTCATAGTCGAAGGTAATACTGAATTCGAAATTTTTCCTAAGAACTGATAAAGTTTGCACAATTCTTACAAAACAATATATTGAATAATACCTCCTATGTAAATATAACACGATCTCGTAATGTTACAGACATGATCCAGCTGGTGTTGACGTCAGCACTGCTGGCCGCCGTGTCAGCATTTCCTCAGCAGTACTTCGCCCCGGCCGAGCTATCCATCAGCATACAGCCGCCACCTCTGCAGCAACAGCAGTTCCAACCGTACCCGCAGCAGCAGGTCTTCCAGCGTCAGCAAGTCCAGCAAGTACCTCAGCAGAACTACGCTCATCGCGCGGTCGTCGCGAACGCCCAGAGGGAGGCCCAGCTTCCTCCGCATCTGCTGAACCCCTTCTACAAGAACCAGAGGATCGCCTCCGCGCTGGCCAAGGAGAGTTGGTTCACCCCGGGCGAGAACCTCGTGGTCGACCGAGAGGCCGAGAAGATCCCGAGGCAGAGGATATACTCGGTGCTGAAAAACGCGGGCTTTATCAACCGTAGAAGATGAGTGCGAAGTGTTCGTGAAGTTCAAAGTAACATCTGACATGTTTGAACAAATCGTAAAACGTGTTCTAAAATGTCACATCAGGTTCTGACACGTATTGACATGACACGTGCAGCAAGTACAATTCATAACTTGTTCTGTTACACTAGTACATGCCCCTTACTGGCAGCTGTGACACCTTCAAACATGTTGTGATTGATTGCGGTGCACACCCGCATGTTCTGACGAGCTACAATATGATCTTCACGTTACAACGACAACCAGTCCGGACTGTAAAGTGAGGATTGTGCTAAGTGTTTGTGAAGGTGAAGTGATATAACCAAAACAAAAACAATTGTCAATTGGTAACCTTCAGCAAGAGGCCTAATTAAATATTTTCGATTAGTTCGTAATGTAAATATAGTTTTATTGTTAATATGTATTAATAAACCGTTTATTTTGTGAGTGTTATTCGTAGCTGTCCTGTGATAAAATTATGGTTCAAAGGTTTGTTTTAGAGGCGTAATCTTCTCCTAGAAGAAACCAGCGAGCACAGAAAACACGTAAAAATTATCTGTTTCCAAATTATCTTCAGAATGCTGTAAAATTTAAGGATATAGCAAGTCTTAGCTTTGAATGGAAACTGAGTGTTTGGGGTTTTAATGTTCATATATTTTTCAAAAGCTGGTAATTATTGTGGGAGCTTGGAATTATAATGTATCAAAAATAGGATTTCTAATGAATTAGAATTGGCATGAAAAGTACATTGGCAGAAACATACTTTGGAGTTTTAGGATTATTCTGTTCAATAGGACGTGACTTGTTCAATATGTATGCCAGTATGCCTAACTACCTTAGCACAGCTCAACAACTATGGTGGTTATAATAACTCGCCTTCAAATCTGAAATTCACTGGTTCTCTTCCAAGCGAGATCTATTCTAAGCCCGTATGTCCTGGTTCATTGGAATATTAATTAATGATGTAATCATAAGGTCTATGTTATACGGTAACAAGCCGAGAGCTTGGCCTGTTCCCTTGAAAACCCTTTTAAACATCCAATGAATAGGTTTGTATCACCTAGACTTATTTTGTTGTTGTACCTAATATAGTATCTGGGAACAGAATCTGATGACGGGCAAGATCCCATAAAGCACACCTACCTAATTCACATTTTCATCCCGGCAAAGCTTAGAAACATACAGACTGTCTCACAAGTCCTGGAGCGGTTTAATATTTGTCGAAATATTTCATACTAGCTGTTGTACCCGTGCTTTGCAACGGGAAAAGGACACAAAATAGACACATTTTAATCTTTATCTCTTGCATATAACACATCCGCCAACGCTTTTAGAAACAAAATTCAACTTTTATAGCCTTAATAGAAACGTTTAAGTTATATGACTTTTAAATCTGGTTAGTAGTGGATAGCACCATTTTGGTTTTGATTAATTTTAAATCTTAGGTTGGCTGATATGAGAAAAACTTACCAAATCTTCGAATAAAACATTGACATACATGATTTACCTTATATTTATTATTGACATTTTAAATTTTAATTTTGAAGTTGCAAAAATACTAATGATAAAATTTAAATGAAATTTTTTTAAAATTTCACTCTTCTTTATATTAAATCACAAATCCTTCGATCTTCAGTTTCTTCACTCACAATAAAGAAAACTTAACGCTACTGGACATAAAAATAGATTTTATAACATATTCAGTGATCCACTACTTCCTCAGGGGGACGGCCCACTAGGAGTCAGAAGGAAATCTTAAATGTATGCTTAGGTTGATATGCATATCAAATAAAAGGTCTTTATTAATAGGATACAATACCACAAATTTGATCACAAACAGATTACCAAGTAAAAATGACAGCCGTTCAATGATTTCTTGAATCTACTATTTTGAATCTTTGAACGGCTGCCGTTTTTTACTCAGTTGTTATTTTAAGCTAAAATTTGCGGCATTGTATTCTACTAAAAAAACCCTTTAATTTGATGTGCATATTGACCTATTCATACGGTGTCGATTTTCTTCTGACTTCTCGCGGGCGCCGGGGCCCAGGAGGTAGCGTTTAAAATAATTGCAAATTCAATGCATCTTTGAATAACGGTCATTTTAGACTCGTTTTTTTTTTGTTTTTTTTTTGAGTTCGAGTTTGTGGCATTGTACTGATAAGACCTTGTATTTGATATGCATATCAACCTATGCTTACATTTAAGATTTTTCTTCTGACTCCTCTTCGCCGTTACCTGAGGAGGTAGCGCATCACTGGATATGTGATCAAATTGAAATGTCCAGTAACTTTGTGCATTTCTAACTCTATTTTCAACAATTGGAAAAATATTAAACTGATCCGTGACTTTTGGGGCAGTCTGTATATATTCATAATACATGCTATGGACATTCTAAACAGCTTCTGGGCTGTCCAGCGCGCATGCGCAGTCACAACGCAACTCCTTGTATAACGCGCAAGTCCAGTGCCAGCAGTGAAAGGCAGCTCGGCGCCAGTAGGGACCTCAGTGCGCGTAGTCGACACTTTGCAGCCAATATTTACTTCCGAGTGGTGACGTCACTCGGCCCCATTCCTGACAAGGCCGTAGAGAAACTGAAGAATGCCACTTTCGCAACTGAGGCCAACTTGAGGCTTCCTCGAGGTCATCTAGCCTGTAGCGACTGCAGAAAGTGCCTACCGCCATGACGTCACATGTGTGATATGGCAATGATAATATTATGAATTATAATATTTTAATTTCACTAAATTAATTTCAGTGAAAAAGTGTAATATTTAACTGTAGGATTCAGGCCCACATCTGTTTTAATATTTCATAAAATGCATGAGGACAGTTTTAAAGTCATGCCCCGATTGAAGTAAGTGCCATTGAGGGAGCGAGACCCTAAAAGTTAGAATGAAGGACTCTACGATGCCTTAAAGAAAAATATTAAAACAACAATTTGTTTACTACGCCCTTCTATACAGTAGCTCTGTTTTTGGTGAGTTTAAGCTAAATTGGTTCAGTAGTATTTTACATGATGGAAAGACAGCTCTTGTTTATAGTATCAATATAGAATATTACTATTGACTCTGGTTAATGAAGTAGCAAACCCATTTTATGGGCCATCTTTAATCAGCTTTTGAATCTATGAGAGCTTAGAAGAATTAGCCTCTCATGGATTTAATTACTGTTCTAATTGGATGTTTTATCCTGGAGATCATAGATAGTGTTAATTTACGTGACACAAAGATCCTAGATAGGCCGATATACATTTCATCCAGTTAGACATCGTTGAACATATTGTTTTAGAGCTCTAAATTAGTCTAAAAATAGCTACATTTGTTGCACATTCCCCTCCGATATCTTGGCAACAGGAAGGATCATTGTTTTCCTAAAAATGTTGGGTTTTGGATGAAAAGCATATCAGCCTAGTCAGAACCTGCTATAGAACATGGTAATGTTGTGTTTATGTGGTAGGCCAATCAGGTAAGTAAAATTAAGCTTTATATATTTACATGGGTTTATATGTATATGTAAAGGTTTCAAAGAAAATTCAACGAAGCTATTCAAAGTGATAGGCTACCTAAAATTATTTTTTTGAAAATTGTATCACATTGAATCACCTAACACTCTGTTACTATTGGAACTTTTGAAGAGTTATTTTGAATCCATATTAGTCACTATGGTGCTACAGATCCTTTCTTGTGCAATGTAAATGATTATACATGAGAGCACCAATTCGTGCATCACTGATCACTCCTGTAAAGACTAGAGACTTGCACCACTCAATGATCACCTCATGAGGCAACCGTGCTCATTTGCCTCATGAGGTGATGTGTGTGGATTTGCCTCATGATATGACGTGTGTGGATTTGTCTCATGAGGTCAGGTACGTATGTGGATTTGCCTCATGATATGCCGTGTGTGGATTTGCCTCATGAGGTGACGTGTGTGGATTTTCCTCGCTAGGTTTTTGCTGCCTATTGGATCACAGAACTTAACTTAAGTTGGATTTAGCTATTGCATTTGGATATTGAAGGAGAATTTCCTTCATATTGACTAACTGTGTCAGTTTACCTCAATCATTTCCAGAGAAGAACGCATTAGTGCGTGTTGTAAGCTAAAGGTGAATGGAGAATGGAGTGATGACCAATGTAGCTTTACTGACTAAACGCTACTGCGAAAAACGCAACAAATAAAATTGACTTGCCATTTTTTGTCCCGGGGACCAATCAATATTGTTTCTCAAAGTACCGCCTCAAAACTACGAAAAGCTTAGAAGCTCAGGCATAATTTTAAAAACGGGATGAGGTAGGGTCAATACAGGGTGAACCACTTAACTGTGCTGCCATTACCATTGCTATCTCGGAAAATTAGATTTAGAGAAAACATTAAATGGGGAAATTTTTTCTTATGACGAAGGCTACAAAAATATGAATTTATTTTGTCAACCCTATCAGTCCCTTTTATCCACTCTATTAGTAGAGAACACTACACGTGTACAAATCTATGGCCAAATTGAAGTAGTTTTTATTTTTATTTTTGGGGTAAAGGGATAGAAACTTCATTTAAAAAAATATTATAGCTTATGTAATTTTATGGGACAGTAAGCGTAAATTATTGCAGCATTGCAGTGCGTTACAGCTCACAGTGAAATGTGGCCCATTACAGTCTATTTTGAAGTGAAAAGCGCGTAGCATTCGGCAATAACGTATGCTCCAATTTACAATCCCGATCGCTTATTTCACAAAACCGTAGCAGAAACGTGAAATGCTTGCGCCAAGTTAGTGACTGTGACATTTCATGCGTTTGCAAATTCGAGCGGTGTAAAAGCGGAGTTTATTATGTAAATATCCATTTTGGTGTGTCGAGAGCTTTCATACAAATCTTATTTTAGGTTAGGTGAGGTCAGGTTTGGATAGGTCTGGTTAGTTTAGATTAGGTTAAGATTCATATTAATATTATCTAAACTAACCCCGAAAATATTATAATTTGGAGGAGTCTTGCCGTATTATTCATAGATTGAAACTGTGTGATTTTTTATCATTTGTCGTCTCATCTAATAAACATAAAAATCTAAATTGTTTCAAACAAATGTTCAAACCGATTAACTCATATGAGTTGGTGAGTGATGAAACCTGGCCTGACAGAGAACCCAGGTCGAACCTACAATCTTCGGTGAAAATCTTCTGGGCGTGTTCAACAAGTGTCCTGATCTTCAGCGCGTTCTTCTAGCTCTGACAACGCCTTAACACTAAAAACACTGTTCAAACCAAAAGCCCAAGCACAGTAGTTCTAAACTTCTCTCCCAGGTACATTTCAAGAATAGTTTTCAGTTCCAGTTGTGTTTGTTGGCTAAAATCTGCCAACTGCACACACTGGGGAGCTGTGAGAGGTTATAGTGCTCTTAACAATCAAAATGTTTTGCCCGATCGATCTTGAAAAAAGTCTTTTTGATGGTTCGA